CTTTAGCCTCTTTGCAAACGTGATTTCCCTACCTGTCAGTCAACTATTCAATGCCCCTTATCAAACCAATCTCTGCATACCTCTTAGCCTTATCATCAAAATGGAACAAAAGTGACTCACACACAGTTTTTTTTACCAATAAAGCAAATCCTTTTTTTGGTACCAAGTTGTAAACACGTTTATTTCTGCTGTAAAAACTGGCTATAATTGGGATTCCTTTGTTTTTAAAGTCGGCACAAAGTGAACACTTGAGGAACTGTAGTTGTTTTTGCATTTCTACATTGGATTCATTTTCCATCACCAGAATTTGCAACTTGCTCAGAGCAGAGTCAGCAGTTTTTGACTTAATAGCAATCGTATCTTTAATCTAAAAAACAGCTTTATATTGTTGTTTAAAACATTAAGTGGCCTTTAACAAATACCACATTTCTATTAATGCCCTGGACCTTCACGGAAAGGAAAAGACTCGTAGACAAGAGTCAAGTTGATGTGGGAGTCACTGGGCAATTTGTTTGTTTGTGACACAACTGCATGGAGCAAGTCCTGTAACCTTTTTGAGACAGAAAAGATCACAGATAAGAAAATGGAAATTCCCCCCAAAAAATGTACAAGATTGTGGGGATTTTACATTGAGATAACATTGAGTTAAAGCAGCCATTGTGCCAGTATAGAAGGTGACACTATGATTTTGAAGTTAATGAAGCTAAAAATCACAATAACTCCAGATAGATTTGACATTGTACATCCGTCTTACTATGTTGAGTCTCTAGGTTTAGACATCTGATAAATCATCAGCGTTATCCTTGAAGTATTAATATAAAAATTTAAGTAGTGAAGACAATGTGTATTCAGGAAATGTAACAATGTTTTGGATTGTTATGATGGCGAAATAGTGGATGAAGAATCTTGTTGTGTGTTGTTTGAGACACATTCAAGTCCAGTTCTCTGATTTTCAGCCCTGTCTTTGGAATAAAATAGTTAAAGAAGCCTGTAAGAGCTGCTCTGCTCTGTGTGACATTAGACTGGGGTAAAATGATAACTAAGCTCCTGTGAGGAACTTCGGGTTTATGTTGATTTTGGCGCCCCCTGTGGTCAAAGCGGCACATATTATCTCTTTGCAGATCATGTATTTTTCGGGTGTATATACTGTTTTGACTAAAACTCTCACTCTGCTGTCTTTTAACAATCAAACATATCACTTGCTGTAAATCTTCCCCCTGTGGAAAATGTGAAACTGCAGTGTACTTTAACTCATTTTGTCTGACACCTTCCCAGAGGCAGCTCCTACAAGTATTACAAATTGTTATAAGTTATGTGTTTGCTTATGTATGTCATGAAGAGGCATCAGTATATAGTTCTGTCTGTTTCATTATCAGCTGAAAACTCCTCACAGGAGCTTTAAGTGTGTAATTCTGAACGAGGTTTGTGTTCTCCATTGTCGCCCTATTAGTGTTGCTTGCTGAAAGACGTTGGCGAGCATCACCTCTTGACCCTGTTGCGTCTGTTTCCCTTCCAACGTTTCCGAGCCGTGTTGTTGTGAACACGCTCTCACGTATCCTTCGTCCTTTCTTTCCCGTGGTAAATAACTCTGATTGCAGAGTGCTGATGCTTCTAATGAGCTGCCCTCCTGTTTCACGTCTTGCATAAGTGGTCACTTCTCCAGGAAATCAAAGCCTGCTGCATCAACAACAGAAAGTGAGCTCATTATCATCACCTGCCTGCTTTACATACAAGTCCGTCAGTGACATTTTGACATGAAGTGATGAGAGAAAGTGTCACAGCAGCCACAGAAATCCCGTAAATTCATCTTTTCCGATATTCCAGTAAGATCTATTTCAGTGCATGGTACATAACAGGACGTGATTATCTGCTGCTGCTTAGATGGAAGATGTAAACAGGTAGTGAATTAGCAGCAGTGATGGAGATGGCATTGTGGTGCGATAGCAGCCCACACAAACATCTCAGATATTTTCATCCCCCCCCACCCATTAGTCTGTCAGTGTGAGAACACAACAAAATCAAAAGGAGAATCAATGTTTCTTTTCTTTTTTTTTAATCAACAGATGAATCCGGAGCTTCTGGAGATATTTATCAAATATGAAAAGGACCAACCTCGGTGAAAACAACCAAATCATGCACGTACGAGTGACTCCAACAAAGATACACTTCATGCACCTTGTATATGAAGGTTGTTGTTTTAAACTGTTTTGCAGTTGCCTTGAACTTGACATGACATGTTGAATTAAACTTCAACATGTCATTGTGTCTTCAAACAGAAAAGAACATACCACATGCTCAATTTTATGGGCTCACAAACTTAAACCAAAGCAATGTGCACATTTTTTGCAACAACAGTAGGAAGCCTCCCTAAGAGGGCATCATCTTACAGCAGCTACTCACTCTCGATGCCCTGCTCAGCGTTGCATGCATCATTGCTGTGAAAACCAAAGTTGATCAATGAAAGTCAACAAAGAAAAACATAAACAAGGAATTATATAAGATAAGATATAGATAAGATAAGATATACTTTATATATCCCAGCAGGGAAATGTAGGTGTTCCAGCAGCCAGCATACATACAAACACACAACACAACACATATATACATACATATCCCACCCATACAAAAAAACATGAGCCCACAATACATAGCCAGGATAAAAAAATGTGGTTTGGATGGTCCATGTGCATAAGTAGCTGTTACTCATAGATAACAGTACAAAATACTAGCTCTGCCAGTGCATAGTATGATAGATAAATAAATAATTATTATTAAAAAAACAGTAAAGCAAATATACAGGTGCAAAATACAGTTTGATATATGCAGCTCAGGCTAAATTTTAAAAGTTTAAATGTCTTCTGTCCTTACTTAAAGGGGAGTCGTTATTAAAGTGCAATTGCAGTAGGTAAAAAAGTATTTTTAAATCTGCCTGAAGGAGTTGCTGATGAATGCTGGTTGGAGGGGCCCCGAACTGATTTTTGCCTCGGGCCCCAACAGACTCTTGAATCGCTACTGGTTGCGACATAAGAAGGCTCATAATCACTGCAACACAACATTTAAACCTGTATGGCCGTTTCTGTCTGTCTCATCTGAACACCTTCTGTGATCCCGCCTTTAGGAAATTGGTGTTTTTGTATTTTTTCTAAAATTGTATTTTTTTGTCTTGAGCTTTTCTTCTTACTGATTAATGAGCTCATCTGTACACTTGTTGTTTCGGTTTCTCTGACTCTGCTTCTATAGGGACGAGCAGCAGAACAAAAACAATGTAAAGAGACAGAGTAATTACATTGAATCACTGCTGTCATTATATTCATTATGACTTTAATAATGTAGTTAAAAACACTGTTCATACAACCACCCTGTAATCTATCTAACCCACTTTTAAACAACTTCAAAGACTTGTACACCCCAGGTAACTTAGGTACAGGAAAGTATGAAACAATGGTTCTTCAATGTTTTTATATGTTTTGACTTGAGGATTCATGAAACCGTCACATTTCATCCACAGCACGTCAGATGGGACTGAAAGATTTTAAAAAAAGAAAACAAAGAAAGCTACACACAGGAAGGTGAGTGAAGTTACATACTGACCACACAAAATGTGTTTCTGTTTCGGTGTCAGATTTCTCGCTGCTGAACATTTTCTTCTCTCTTGTTGGAGGGGGCGGGACCAATCGTGCTGCTAGCCAATAACAGTAAAGTTCTATGAATATTTAAACTATTCAGTACATGACTCCTCCGGTACTGTTCTCATTTGGATCAATTTAAAATTAAGCCAGATTGTAAAAAAACAAACAAAACAAAAACCTAACAATTCCCCCCCTTAAAAAATAAATGAAGTATGCATTAAATTTAAATATCTATTTTAAACTTATAATGAGACGATTATAACCATTTTTAAACATTTTTATTCACAATACTAAGAATATTTATTTATTTAAAGACAAGTAGGATTTCTTATGTTTGTTATCAGCAAGTGATCGGTTACAAAACAAATAAATATTTTAATTTTCTTATAAAAAGTAATTAAAAATGACTCCAGGACATGATAGAATATTTATTTTGTGTTAATCACCTTATTGATCTATCGACTCGTTGCTTCAGGACTTCATAGTCTAGAGGAGGCTGAACGTTTTTACACTAATGGTGGAAATAAAGAACAGAAACAGAAAGCCCTGTTCATTAGTATAATGTCAAAGTACACTTGTTCTTTACCCATAACTCCACATTCTCTGCAACTTTCTATTTCTACTCAATTTATTTATAAACGTCAAATTAATTTATTTATTCAGTCTCCTCGAGCCTAAACAACTGAAGCAATGAGTTGATTAACCAATAAGGTAATTAACAAATGGAATTAAAATTTGTTTCTACGTTTTCTTTTAAACTCATAAGTGCAAATGAACGTATTTCTTTGTCTTGTAACTGCTAACTTACCGATCAACAGGTGTATGTGTGAAGGTGTTTTGTGTGGGATGGTGTAAGGTCCTTTTCATAAATGTGTTTTGGATTTCACATCAAAATGAGTTTCTACTGTTTTTATTTATTTGTTTTATATGAGTTGTACTATACAAATAAAATAAGATAAAATGTATGGATCGTCAGGGAGTTACTCAAAATTTATCCAGAAGTATGAATATAAATTATACTTAAATAAAAGCCAACATTTTTCTGAAATGCGCTACTTATTATAATTAAGATTTGTTGTATGTTTTAATACTAATTCTATTTCAAATGTTTTTTTTCATCAATCAAATACATATTCGGGTTTAATAAAGCACATTTTGTTACCTGGAAATTTAACGCACAATTTTACTTCTAAAAGTGTTTATTTTTATTTTTGCACATTACACAGCATTCACTTTTCTTGACAGCCGCCTGACAGCAGGATCAAGTTTGTTGTGTAATCCAATAAGCTCCAGTCCGTATTTCCCCTCGAACCCATCTGGCTCACTGGCAGGGTTTGTTTACTGGCGGAGAGAGGCTGGGAAGAAGAAGAAGAAGAAGGGGGATCCTGCAGGACCTGAGAGAGAGAGAGAGAGAGAGAGAGAGAGAGAGAGAGACTGTACAATCTACCTCTGTGGCGTGGTGGACGAAGAAGAAGAAGAAGAAGGAGACATAATCTATCAAAAAAAAAAAAAGCTTTTTCTTTCTCTCAAATTGTTCCCACGGCTGTGAGCTTGTTCCGAGCATAAAGACAAACCCGGATCACAGCACTGTGTGTATTTTGCATTTTTGACTCCCAAACAAACCACGAAGAAGAAGAAGAAGAAGAAAAAGTAGCTGCAGAGCCACGAAGAAGTCTGTCACAGAGGATCTCTGCAAATCTCTGCACACACTGGCGGAGGAGTTGTCGCATTGGAGCAAAACAAGCTGCGTGGGGGAAAAAAAAGAAAAGAAACTCATATCTCACTAGGTGAAGTCGGCTGTTACGTGTTGTGCTTTTTTAAAAAGGACTTGAGGTGTTTTTTTCACACACCTCCTCCCCCCCACTCTTCCCTCTCCACGCATGCCTCAAACTTCTCCCCGTGGCCTGGTGCTGGAGCAGCGGAGTCGAGCTAACGCAGCTAGCGGCTAACACCACCTTCAGTCCCGGACGACAACAACAACAACTCCCGTTGGTGTGTTTTTCTGCTTTTTTTAAACGTCGACACGGACAAACTTAGCTGCAGCAATTCAACACGACAATGCAGTAGCTGACACAAAGGGAGCAGCCGTGTCTTGTGCTGTTGTTTGTTTGTTAACAGGGGGGGGTGGTGGGGGGGGTTTGTTCCTCTCTCTCTCCATGAGGTGGCTAACTGTAGCAGCGTCGTTAGCTCGTGTTTGACTGAACACGTTGGACTTGGTCGTTCCCTCCGCCCATCTTCTGGGATGTCTTTTATTTATTTTTGTTTACCTGTTGGCCCATGTCGCGAAACAAAACCAGTGTCCTGAAGGCATATATATCCACCAGTCTGAGCTACCAAAAGGATTATTCTGTATTTGACACGGAATAGTGACTTATCCCGAGTCAGTGATGAGGCTCCGGACTTTGTGTTTGTGTTTTGTTTTGACTGCTGGAGTCTTTCTCATGAGCTGTCATCGAGCTGAAGCAGAGGGTAAGTAACCATTATTATTACATTTTATTAATGCATTTATTTAAAAAAACAACAACAACATTAGTCATTTTTTCTTAAATAGTGTGAATACGTGGCTGTGTTTGCACCACTGTAAGAAAAACAACATTATGCAACACACAGGAACCAGAAGTGATAAAATATAACATAATCACCACATTTCATCCAAATAATAAAAAAAATAATTTAAAATAAATTGTTACAGCAGCAATAAAAAGATACATCTGACACAGTTATTCAGTACCAATATTTAAAATTAATTATTTTTATTTTTATGGTTTCTCGAAGATTTTTATAAAAACATGGCATAGAAATAACTGAGATTTTAATTATTATTAATGTTTATCACATGCTTTCTGTACTAAACACAAGTCTTTAATAGCATTTCATTAAAAATAGAATAATAGCATTAAAAAAATGGCCTAGTAATTGATTTAGGCATACATCCTAGGGCTGGGCGATATGGACCAAAAGTCATATGTAGTAATCATTTATTTCGGTCACAAGAAAAAAACCGAAAAGGTGGAGGCTGAAGCTTTAGCTTATTACACCTACCCGTATTACAAAGACACTGCTAGGTTACTAAAAACAAAACATGTCAGAACAAAATTTGTTCTAAGAATTTCTTTCAAAACAAAAAACGATATATATCTCGATATTGTTTAGCTGAATGGCGATACTCGATATGTATCGATATGTGTTTTTTTAACAGTGAAAACACATGGAAAAATAAACTACCTGTTTGTGAATTTAAAAAGTAATATAATTAAATAAAAATGTTCCTTAGATACAATTAAAGAGAGAGAGAGAGAGAGGAGGAGCAGAGTTAAGAGGGACAGACAGTCAGTCATCATCAGTGAGATGAGAAAAAAGGTGACCTGGCACCTCTGTAATGTTATTTAAATGCAACATAAACTATATGATATTAATGATATTGTCTTACCCTATATCTTGTTTGAAAATATATCGATATATCTTAAAAACTCGATATATTTCCCAGCCCTAATACATCCCTGATGCAGTGTTATCATCACAGCTACATAACATACATGAATGTACATTTTATTGCAATTATTGTGACTCAGTGGATGTAAAGATTGTGATATATTTCAAGAGTGTCGATCATTTTTCCTGAAAAAAAAATGTAAAATCATTATCATTGTACGACAGCTGTACAAAAACAAACTTCTATGCTTTTAAACATCTGGAAAACAAGATATGTAGACATCCACAATTTCCCAGTTTGGGATCAATAAAGTAATTCTATTCTATTCTATGGTTTGGCATCACATCGTTTATTAATTAAAAAACATATTCGAATAACAAATATGTAGCTGCTATTATTGTACATTTATACGGCTGGAATTTTGATATTATTTTGATTCATCGTTTAGCCCTTGATGTTTTTTTAAGTCATTTCGATTTTGCGTGTGATTTGATGATTTGATGAAAGCACTCTGGCAGCAACAGATGTTTTAAAAGACAGTCACTGCATTGACGGGACAAAGGTTAACACTTATCTGCTGTTTGAGTCTGCAGGAACTGTAAACAAAAGGTTTTGTCCCCCCCCCAAATAAAAAAAAGTATGTCTGAGAAATGAGAAGAATTAGTCGGTTGTTGTTGTTGGAGAGGAAAGCCTGTTGCTGTGGTCAGTGCTGGAATGTAACAATAAGCCCTCTTTACAGCTCCTGACAATCCCTTTATATTCACCAGCGAACGAACCGGGGTGATAAGAATGAATGAACACATTTGCAATCGCCCCGGAGACATTTTCACATTTCTCAGACCCCACAATGGCCGCACACAGGCTCGCTGTTTCTCTCTCTGTCGGAATCTGTTTCTTTAAGCAAACATTAGCTATGAGGAAACGTAAAGCAAACCTGTAGGACGACTTGTTGATTTAAATGACTCTACAGGAGTGTGTGTTCTCAGGGTGACAACAACAGAGAGCAGCCTGGTAAACATGGCATTTCATAGTTAATCATTATAACCAGGAAATATGATGAATTTCAACGTAAGCAGGTGATTGCAGTGAAAGTCACGGGGAGGAGATGTTTTCTGTTTAAATCCCTGCTGGTGGTCTCCCTACTTGTCAGACTGAAATAGCAAAATAAATCAGACAGATCTTTTCACCTTTGGCTTAGTTGGAAGGAAAAGTTGCTGTGTTTAAGATCATGTGTCATTACTTTCTTGTGAAATGAAATCACCAAATTCTACAGAAACTGATGACAGATGACTGAAGAAAAACATATATTCTGAATTGCAAAACCTCTACTACAGGAAAGTAGATGTAGTGGAGTGATACTATTTTTGCTTTCAACTACTTCCTTAAAATCTTAATGTTCGACAGAGAGTCCTGTGTCCACAGAAATTATGTTTACAGAAGTTTTTTTTTTTTATGAGCTACTATACTGTAGTAACTGATGAAGCAATTCATTTTGTTCTTATCTTATTATAAAGATTAAATGTTTCTTAAATCTTCAGCATTCACACAACAGCACACACTCGTCATCTGTGTAGTTTATGAAAACGCAGTTCGTACCCCACAAACTGTATCTCTGCAGTCAGTGTCAGTAATCGGTCTAAAGAGTCCACACTGAAGGAAAAGAGAAGCGCTCCCTCTCTCACCTTTCATCAGATCGTATCGGGGGGGGGGGAGAGTGAGTGAATGGAGCAATGTCATCGGACCAGTTTGAGCAAGACTTTGAAGACATAAATAAAGAGCATGTTGTGAGCGTGAACCGCAGAAGGAAGAAAAGGGGAACCTGGGCTTCTCACTGAGCACAATTTCAAAAAGTGGAGCGACCGGTGTCCAAGTCAGGTCAGAAGCTTCTGAGCTACTTGTTTGGACGCTGTCCAGCTCAGCTTGATGGGGGGAAAAAAAAAAAGAAATCACTTAAGAATGAAAGCTTATCATAAGTATGGAGTGTGGGGATTGAAGTGATTTATTAAGCATTGCCTGACAGTTTGAACAATTTTGCCAATTTGAAAAAAAAAAAAACCCTCTTACTTCCAGTTAGCCCCTGATTGGTCCTCTAATGTCGCAAGAGTCAATGAGCAAAGCCTCCGTTTATTTTTCTTGAAAAAGAGAGATAGTGATCTTTAAAAAGACAACAGCAGATAGTTCATGAGCACTTACTCACAGCTGTTCTGATCATATCTCCAGAATCTGGAAAGACCCCTCAAACAAACGCTTGAACGAAATTCTCAGTTTTGACTTGTTAAGAGTTTGAACCTGTTTCTCGAGTCACGCCACCGCTCGCTAACCGTCCTATGAGCTGAAGAAGACAACGTGCCTGTGCTCATTTTGTACATCATATATAACATGTCAGCAATGTTGCCAGTCCCTCAGGCTACATGACTCTTAAACCTTTATTTTGTGTTTTCAGACTAAATCACATGTTTATCAGGGCACCAGATGGCCCAGCGGTTGTGTCTCGCGCCCAACGTACAGAGGCTGAAGTCCTCGCCGTGGGTTTGAATCCCCCCCACTTTCCCGATCAAACATTTCCTGCCTCTGTTCAGCTGTGCTATCTAATAATAATCGTGAAAAAATGACATGTGTTTAGTTATATTCACACATATATATATATATATATATATATATATATATATAGTTATATACAAATAAGTGTTACTACCATGTAAGGCTGCATGATTTAGGATTTTTATTTTCATCCTGACAGATATTTTACAATTTGAAAAGTAAAGGAAAGTATTCCAGATAATCAGAGTTTGTAATGTTAAAATCAATGAATAATAATGAGCTGTCATATGGGGTTACCATGTGGGAGTCTATTTCCTAACAGAACAAAATCTCCCTTCTGTTTATACCCCGTTTGGTTCAGCCCCTCTTCCAATGAGTCTTACAGCAGCATGGAAAAGTAAATGAGACAACAGATGAAGCGACCTGTTTATTAATAAACTTGTCGGTTGCATAAAACGTTTCTAAAGACGTTGAATTGTGTGTTAATTATGTGAGCGTGTCAAGCCGTGTGGCAGCAACTTTTTGCAACCGAAGTTTCAGACTTTTATTGACAAGTGTTGGAAAATGAGAACCTGGCAAGTTTTTGTTTTGCATCAAGAAACAGGAAAAGCAGCAGCATGAAGCGTTACAATGCAGTGGGGCGGCTGTGGCTCAGTGGTAGGAAGTCGTCTCTCAGTCGGAAGTTTGGGGGTTCGATCGATCCCCAGCTCCTGCAGCCACACGAGGAGTTGCTTTGTCGGCGGTTATCCTCCGTGTGAGAATGTAACGCAGCGCTGTTTCATGTGGATACGTTCACAGCCGGTTAAGTTGCGCATTGTTGATTAATGCAGACACGCTGAGAGTGGATACAAATAATTCAGAACCGACCTTTTGACTGGATCACATACGTTCCCGACCATAAAGACTCGGGTCCGTATGGATCACGGGCTGTGTTCTCCTGTTCTAAAAGTAATCGGATGTGCATGATGGCTGGCGCTCCTGTGTGTGTGGACACGTAAGTGTTTGTGTGTTTCAGTGCGTCGTGCGTTGCTTCTACATGCAGACAGCAGAGGAGCGAGAAATTCAGCGTTTCACAGCTCATTCCATTTTCTTTGTCAGTTTCCGCCAGTGTCCTCCGCATCGCAGAAATCACATGTCCCTACATTTAACTTTATTAAACCCTGATAGCAATCAGTTGCAACCCACATTACAGGTTAAACATGTTTTATTATGTAGCAGACGGAATATGTTTTCAACCGCCATCGTTTAGGTTTCTAGAAATTAAATCTCCGTCAATATGACTGTCTAAATCTTTCTTTTTCTTCTTATCCATGCAACCTGAATGTATCGACACTACATTAGAGGTAGAAGCTGTGGTTATCTTCCAGTTTGGTTGGTGTGAGATTAAATGTCGGTCCGACTGCAGCGAGTCGTCGTGCCATGATGAAACATCACTTTGTGAACAGTGTCAGGCAGCAGGCAGTTGTTGTGAAGCCTCTGGCTTGTTGTTGAGCAC